AATAGTAATAATAATAATAACAATAATAATAATAATAATAATAATAATAATAATAATAATAATAATAATAATAATAATAATAATAATAATAATAATAATAATAATAATAATAATAATAATAATAATAATAATAATAATAATAATAATAATAATAATAATAATAATAATAATAATAATAATAATAATAATAATAATAATAATAATAATAATAATAATAATAATAATAATAATAATAATAATAATAATAATAATAATAATAATAATAATAATAATAATAATAATAATAATAATAATAATAATAATAATAATAATAATAATAATAATAATAATAATAATAATAATAATAATAATAATAATAATAATAATAATAATAATAATAATAATAATAATAATAATAATAATAATAATAATAATAATAATAATAATAATAATAATAATAATAATAATAATAATAATAATAATAATAATAATAATAATAATAATAATAATAATAATAATAATAATAATAATAATAATAATAATAATAATAATAATAATAATAATAATAATAATAATAATAATAATAATAATAATAATAATAATAATAATAATAATAATAATAATAATAATAATAATAATAATAATAATAATAATAATAATAATAATAATAATAATAATAATAATAATAATAATAATAATAATAATAATAATAATAATAATAATAATAATAATAATAATAATAATAATAATAATAATAATAATAATAATAATAATAATAATAATAATAATAATAATAATAATAATAATAATAATAATAATAATAATAATAATAATAATAATAATAATAATAATAATAATAATAATAATAATAATAATAATAATAATAATAATAATAATAATAATAATAATAATAATAATAATAATAATAATAATAATAATAATAATAATAATAATAATAATAATAATAATAATAATAATAATAATAATAATAATAATAATAATAATAATAATAATAATAATAATAATAATAATAATAATAATAATAATAATAATAATAATAATAATAATAATAATAATAATAATAATAATAATAATAATAATAATAATAATAATAATAATAATAATAATAATAATAATAATAATAATAATAATAATAATAATAATAATAATAATAATAATAATAATAATAATAATAATAATAATAATAATAATAATAATAATAATAATAATAATAATAATAATAATAATAATAATGGAGGAGGCCCTGTGGGGGGACGACAAGAAGGTCATTGGCTTGGCAGATCGATCAACCTGTCGTGAGGAACTAGGAGATGGCGGGCCTGCCCTGGCGGCTCGCCATGAGAGACCCTCGCAGGTGGAAACGAAGGTGACGCGGCTATGGCTCCCTACCGGCGTTAGCCCCCCAATGATGATGATGATATATATTCCATATTATCTATTATATACATACACACACACACACACACACACATATATATATATATATATATACATATATAAACATATATAGGCATATATATATATATATATCTGCGTGTGTGTGGTTCCGTGCGTGTGTGTATCTATCTATTTATCTCTCTCTCTCTCTGTATAGGAAGAGATGAATATATATATATATATATATATATACATGTAATATCTAGATAGATAGAAAGATAGATAAATATGCCTATATATATATATATATATACACACAAGGGAGGGGATCCAAAGTAGAAGGATTTTGATTCAGTGCATCAGAGCATTCGTACCAACGTGTTACAACGTATTCAAACATGAACCCTTAAATGCAGGTAATAACGCCTGACCGCCAAATAGATGTCATGTGATCTGAACTATGTCAGAGCAGCTTCAGCCGATGGAAAATTGGTACCTTCCAATGATTTTTTAAAGTTTGGAAACAAAGAGAGGTCAGATGGGGCTAAATCGGGGCTGTAGGGCGGATGTCGAACGATTTCCCATTGAAATTCACGCAGCACAGCTCTTGTCTGCCGAGCGACGTGAGCGAGTGCATTGTCGTGGCGGAAGAGAACGCGTTGATGCAGCTTTCCAGGCCGTTTTTCTGAGTTTTTTTGACAGTTTTCTCAAAACGCATTCATAATACGCAGATGTAATTGTTTTCTTGCTCTCGAGGAAGTCAACCAGCAAATTTCCTTTGTACTCCATAAGACCGTGGCCATGACCTTTCCTCTTGAACGCTCAGATTTTGCTTTGACGGTCCACTTCCATTCCTGGGCAGCCACTGCTTTGATTTGAATTTTGTCCTCGGGCTTGTACGGGTAGCACTATGTTTCATCCCCTGTCACAGTTCTCTGCAGAAAAGCTTTGTTCACAATTTCCAGTGAAAGATATACCTTTGCTGCTGATCTGGGCACAAGAGCCTAGGGACCCATCGAGCGAAAACCTTGCTTTGCTCCAAACTCTCCACCAGAATTGTGTGTGCAGAACCCACAGAGATGTTGAGTGTGTCTGCTACTGATTCAGTGGGTATTCGTCTATCCTTTTCAGTCATATCGTGAACAGTATCAATGTTTTCCTCACAAACTGATGTTAATGGCCTGTCGCTGTGGGCTCATCTTCAATTTCGTTTTATCCACTTGTGAACCGAATTATCCATTTGTAGGTTACTGATTTCTTTGGGGCAGTGTCCCCATAATTTTTTTGCAAAGCGTCAATGATTTGCCTACTCTCCCATTTAATGTTTATCCTGGCCTCGATTATCCAAGCCCTGCAAGTGTTAAAGCGAGTTATTGCAAGAACTCAGTCCTGTCTTGCTCATAGGAAAGAAGCTAGACATGCGCACATCATAATCAACAGCATTTGCAATATATGGACTTGCTATGAATGAAAAAGATCTTTCTTGGAATACCTTTGAGATTCCCAGAAGATTGCACAGTATATTTCATCCCTTTCTATTTTCTTCATTCTTTTCCTCTTCCGTGTCTCTCTATTCACTCGAAAATGTTCCTATCTCCCTAATCTCTCTATATCCCCTTCATCTATTCACCCACTCTTCTTTTTTACATTCAATTTAACACGCAGAAATTTTAAGTGTAGAGTTCCTTCCTGTAAACAATCAAATACTAACTCCTTTCTTCCCTCGACCTAAGCCATCGCAAGTGCAAGAACCCATTTAACACTCAATATTGATGCAAAACGAACTCCACTCTTCCTGAATCAACTGCCACCAAAAAACTTACCACGATTACTATTGCCGTTCACAGTTGCCCCTCGGGTCACAAGCACCGTCACCACCGAGCTGTGGCCGCTATAGGCAGCTCTATGCAATGGAGTCCAACCTGAAGCGGAAAAAAATGCGTGTATCGGGTTTTATTTCCATAAACAAATCGCTATTGATTGTGTGGACACAGAAATAAACACACATATAGTAACACATGTAGTATAAATGTGAATTGTTACTGTATGTAGGAATCATCAACAACAATGAAAGTGGTGAAAATAATATGTAAATTAGGAAATGCTCATATTATAAATGAAAGTTATGTTAATGATAATCAAGTAAAGACAGTGACGTGATAGAGAGGATAGTGATAACAGTAATAACGATGATGATAAGGGTAATGGTTATAATGATAATGACAATGATGATAGTAATAATTATTTTTATTGTTATTGTTGTGATTTTTCTTATCATTATCATAATTGCCCTAATCATTATCCTTATTATTATTAGCCTAACAATAATAATAATTATTATTGTTATTCTTATAATTATCATCATTATCGATATCATTATTCTATTTTTTATCGTTATCATTACTATATTTTTTATTAACACTAATACTACCATTACTATCTTTATCATTATCATCATCATAATTAATATTATCAATATTCTTATTATCAGGATTATTATTATGTTATCATTTTTATCATTATTGCTATTATTCTTATCATTTTAATTCATAACTATAATAGTTTTCATTATTGTTATTGTAATCATCCATATCATTATTACTGTTACTATTGCTATTATTATTATTATTATTATTATTATTATTATTATTATTATCAATACTATTATTATGAATTCCATTATTATCAATATTATTATCATTGTTACTATTAGTATTAATTTTTTTATCATCACTACTATTGTTATTGTTATACTATTATTATAAATATTATTATCTTTATTGTTATTATTATCATTACCATTATAATTACTATTATTGTCATTATTATTGTTAATGTTATCATTATCATTATTATTGTTATTATTATTATTATTATCATTATTATTATCATTATTATTATTATTATTATTATGACTATTTGTCTTATTATCACAATCATTACCATTATTATTTTTATTTCTATTATCACTATTGTTATTATTATTATCATTAGTATTACTATTGATAATATTATCATCATTATCATTATCATCATTATTACTATTATTGTTATTATTATCATTATCATTACTATTATTGCTATTACAGTTATTATTATTATTATCTTTATCTTTGTCGTCATTATTCTTATCCTTATTCATATTCTTATTGATATCATTATCACTATCATTATTAGTATTGCAATTGTTACTATTATCATCATTTATCTTCATTGTTATCTTTATCATTATCATTATCAACATTATCATCATCATCATCATCACCATTATCATCATCATCATTATTGTTGTTATTATTATAATCGTTGTTACCATAATCATTATTATTGTTGCTATTATCATCCTCATAATCATTTTCATTATTATTATCATTACTATCATTAATGTCAATACTATCGTTATTATCATTATTGTTATCATCATTATGATTATGATTATCATTACCATTATTGTCATCAACATCACTATTACTATTTCTACTACTACTACTATTACAGTTAATGATCAACATACATCAACATTCATATTATCGATATCATTATCAATATTATCAAGATTACTGTTATTATCAGTACCACAGCTATTATCATTATTATGAATAAAATGAATAAAAAATGAGGAA